ATATACAGCAACAATATGCAGCAATAGACGAAAGTACATCTAAAGAACGTGCACCTGCAGAACAGATGAATGCTCTTAAGGTAGATGTATATGATGTTTTTAATTATCATAGTAGGCTATGTGGTACATCAAGATTTTCAGTCTTTCTGGGATATTAAATTGGACTCCAGTGACCCGACCGACACATTTCAGCAAATGAAATCGAGTTTCAACCTACATAAGCAGATGATGATGAATGTACATATTTTGGCTCTTCAAAAAGTGTCCCACTGGAATCTGCTCTTCAAGCCACAGTACAAAACATTGACCGCTGGAGTCTGTCAGTTATCCGCTGGTGAGAGCCTGTGCACTGGGCTTCTGAAGCTGCTCGCGGGGGGCAGTGAAGTCCCACGGTCTGCGGTTCTCAGTGAAGCCGTAGAGTTTCCTCAGAGCCACGCGCGCTGCCTCCTCTTCGGCTGCTAGGACAGTCTCGCCTGGACCCTGAGCCAGCAGCTTACGGTCACTGACACAAAAAAAGATTTGGCATTTTAAAAATCAATCAAAAACCTAAACTGAGAAGAGTACTGATTATTGGTTTGCTGGAGTAGAGACCAGAATAAATCTGACTCGACCCTGAAATGACACTTCAGATTAATCAACTAGAGCTTTATTTACAGACTGTGGAGAATATAGATCAGGGTTTAGATGCATAGCAGTGTGACATTACACAATGCTTTGTAAATGTTCATTTTCTGTTACTAACTTATCAGTGAAATTAACAATGACCTCATGCAGCTTACTAACCCGTGTGTCATACCTGTAAAGCCCGACGAAATAGAGCGGGAGGACGGTACTGGCTCCAGCAGACCGGATGAGACGGGGCTCGGGTAGAGCTATACCTTTAAGGGTCAGTTCTTTAACCAGCAGCCCCATGGGATCAACCACTTTCCACATGTCAAACAGATCTTTCCCTATTAGTTGAGTCACCAGGAAATCCTGCAAAACCGCACACCCAACAGATTGATCAACAAGTGCACAAAGATTAGGGTCTGTAACACATATAATATAATGTAATATATAGGGATGAGCATTTTGGCAATTTCTCATTTCGATCATCGATAGGTTTCAAAAACGAGTACTCAGGGATGGGGCATGGCCGTAATGGAGATAATGAAAATATCTGAAGACTGTTATGAAAATGAATGTTAAAAATAAAAATATGACATGAAAACCTGTCTATGAAAACATGAACACATGATTAGAACACTGTTAGATTATGATTATGATGCAGCAATGTTATTAAAAAAAGAAGCATCTAAAAAGGAATAGCTGCCTGGGGTGAAGCTGAAAAGTGACTTTATGCCAATAAACTGAAGCCTGTTCTATGAGAATTCCTTTGATATTAATCAGATAACTTAGATACATAACAGACGTAACATTACAACTTGTATCTGCACAAAAGGATGCAAATGCCAGATGAACTTTAAGTTACGCGCTATATCGTGAGAGAGCTCCCTCCGTGATGCGCTTTCATGACAGCGTGCTGAAACACGGGTAAGGAAATCAGACAGAATTTACTATAGATTTCAGTTCTAATTATAATGCTGCGTTGATGAAATGCCAGTGAACCATGCTTCTCTCTTCTCACATCTATACTTTGGACCACATGCTGTTGCAATCAGAGCTCAGAGTGCTGCCCAAATTGCAGAAAAAACAAACAAACAAACATATAATTCTAAAATTAAACAAATATAAAATTAAATATGTTATACTAAATTATAATGGTATATCACAATGTTACTGTTTTACTGTATTTCTGGCTAGATAAATGCTGTCTTGGTAAAAATCTTATAATATAATATATAATAACAATCAAAAATATACAATATCATAAACATTCTATAATTAGAAATAAAATTGTTAAATTATTTCACACACACTCAAATAATATATATATATATAAAAACATGAAAAGTTAACTTTAAGAGGACTCTTGTCTTACTCTAATGAAAAGCCCGGCTCGCACAGGCCCGCTGCTCTGCTCCAGAGCACCAATCACAGCGAAGAACGTTCCTTGCAGGGTTTCATCTGGAACAGGAAACTCTGCACTCATCGTCAAATCCTCCACTGCGAGGTTCTGTGCGACGTGACACATGACCTCTGACCCTGTCAGGTGGCCTACGACGGCTGCCACACCCTCCTCAGGCAGGCTGGGAAAGCTGCCCCTGCACCAGTCACTGAGGAAACCCTGTACAAAACAATGGAAAGAGAGGAATGTGAATACCATACCAATTTTTGAGCATGAGACTCATCAGTGTTCTCACCTTTGTGAACTGTTGACCGTGCACACACAGCTTGCCGTTGTCTTTCAGGTTGAGGGTGGTCGTCTCCAAATCAAGGCCCAGCGCTCGCCTCCTCTCCTCCTCAGATCGCAGGTAACACGTGTTCACAAACGCCGTCTTCAGAAGCTCCACTGAGAAACTCTCCTGCAGTCGGGCACTGAAAGCCTCCACTTCAGCATGATAATCAAAGTTTGGCTGCTGGGAGCTGACGGGAAGAGAAAAGAGGGTTAAAGAGGTGCAAATGAAATAACACACAGCCCACACCCCACACGTTTGTTTCTGTGAATTGTGGGGACTTTCCATAGACTTCTATTACTTTTATACTGACCAAACAATATTTTCTATCCCCTAAACCTACCCCTTACAGAAAACCTGTTTGGACTGTCAACAATGTCAAAAAATGTCAGGTTTTACTATACTTGTGGGGACATTTGGTCCCCACAATGTAGCATAAACAAGTACACACACACAGGTGTGTAATTTGATGTCATTAAAGTTTTGTTTATACATTAAAATACAAAAAAATTTAAATGAGTAAATGACAGAATTTTCATTTTTGTGTGAACTATCCCTTTAAGAAGGTTGATCAATTCCAATAATTTCAAAAAGTCCCAAGACAAAATAAGATAAGCTATTATATATATATATATATTCCTCAAACCAATTACATTAAGTCATTTTGCAGACGCTTTTATCCAAAGCAACTTACAATTGGAGAATACATAAAGCGATTATTAATAGTGTTATGTACTGCCATCAAATTTTTCTTTCAAAAACAACATGCTCCTAGTCTAAAACGTAAAAATATAAATAATTCTTCGAGTATCAGTCATGCATTCTCATTACCGCAGTGTATACTTTGTTACATTCAGAGAAAAGCCTTTAGGCTAATTGATAGGAAATTATTAAAAATGCGCTAATATTTCAGCCCCGAACAGATGACAAGATAAAGTAACGACTAGAATGCATGGGGTAACACATCTGCAGGTTTAGTGCTCACAAAACAAACAAATGAAGAGAAGAAAAGAAAAGACACAAAATATCACCAACAATCTCATTTATCCGTACACTGATCCATACATAATGGATTTACTGGCTGTTATTCAAAACCTAGTGTGTTGCCTACCTAGACAGCATTTTGTTGGGAACACAGACATGCTCTAAAAATTCTATGACGCCGAAATATAATGTCTAGGTAACGTTAGGCAGCTCACTATGATTTGAGACACAGCCGGAGAGTATCACCTGTGGCCTTGAGATGTTCTACTGACCGTGGCTTTGGAGGTGGAGGTCCCTCCATCTTTCTCTTCCTCTCCATGATGAGCGTGTATGCCTTCATCCATCTCTTCTTCTCTCTGATATGTGTGAGCATCACTCCCCTGCACACAAGATGGAAATGCAGAGGTAATACCGCGCGACTCACGAGCGCCCTGCACGCCGCCATGACAGCCGCGACCTGGTCACCTGACACCACGCAGTCCGCGAAAGAGCGACGGAAAGCGGGAGGGAAGCTGTCCACAGCGCCGCCACGTGTCCGGAGCACTGCGTTTATGCTGTTTGTCAAGGTGGACCCCATAACTAAGAAATTCACATCTTAGGTATTAGTACAATATAAAAAGTATGAATGACCATGGTACTTAATATAAGTTCTAGTGTTATTTGTTCATTAAAACTATAATTTTTTCCCGGTAAATTAAATAAAGCTTAAATAAAATGCATAATTATTATATGAAAAACGTAAATAAAAAAATAGACAAAAATATATAAGTATTAGATGAAAAACTTAAACGTAAACAAAAACACTGCCTTCGCAACTAACTGAAATAAGCGAACATATAATATAATATGTGACAAAAATATAAGCTAACATAATATAATAACTGACAAAATCGCTAAATCACTAAAAATATAATAAAATTAAAAGTTACAAATAAAAATTCATAAATACTATAATAGTATAAAAATAAATACTAAAATAACACCAAGTACATATTTTCTAGATTTCTTTTTAAAAAACTTTTAATCTGTCATGATTAAGACCAAAAATTATACTTCATCTTCAGAAATTAAACAAACAAGCAAATCCAGACGATTAAAAGCAGACAAGATAGTGTAGTTCACTACTGTTGACATTTATTCAAATAAAAGCATTTGTAATACAGTGTTCATGGCTCTGAGAGAGGAAAACTGAATGTGTATCATTTCAGTAATATCCTGCAGAAAACGAGCAGAAATAACAACATCAGCATATTTTAATAATGTACATAAATAATAACCAGGACTAAACTCACACTTAACAAGTATGGTTTCTATGTCGATGCAAGTAACATACAGATGTACATAATGCACCTAAAATCACAACAGTCTGTAAATATTCTTATTATTTAATATTATATGCTTTTCTTTTGACTATGCCATATCAGTGCATTCCATTCCATTGGTCTTTGTAAAAGTTGACATAATATTGTACTAATTTGTATAGTAAACTTATGGAAAAATAAATGATTACACCCAAAGCTCAAAAGACAGGTGAAGTAATATATACATCTTGTTCATGCTTGACTTACGCAAAAAAAACAGAAACAAAAAAAAGTAAGTAAAAATGTACAAAACCAAGAAAAAGAACAATTGCACAGTTGTACAAAAAAAAAAAAAAAAAAAGTATAAATACATATTTATAATAATAAAATGAAACCAGACAGACAAACCCAAAGAACAACACAAAAGCCATCTCTGACTTTACCGCTCTTACTGTGAAGAAAATAAAACATTTTAGCCATTAAAAAAATACGGCTAAAGTTTGACACATAGAACAGAGGGGCGGAGTTTTGATTTTGCCCCTCCCACATTGCTGAGTCCATGTAGCTTCAGCGACGGAACCAAACCCAGCTGTTGATAAGCCAGAAAGCTACAGTGATGGAATACATGATCATTTCTCGCTTGACTCTCTCTTTGTTCTCCTCCTCCAAGAGCTGCAAACGCCGGTTCAGCTTGACAATCTGTAATGACAAGAAATCAAAGAAATGAATAAACCCCTCCATCTTTCAGGTCAAGTAATGCGCAATTACACAGACTACTGTTGAAAAATTTGGGGTCAGTAAGATTTTACTGAAAGAAATTAATACTTTTATTCAGCAAGGATGCATTAAATTGATATTTGATAAATGTATAAATCATTTTTTTGTATTGTTTTGTATTGTTGATCAAATAAATGCAGCCTTAGTAAGCCTAAGAGACTTCTTTAAAAACATTTGAATGGTAGTGTTCATAAAATTGTTTTTATTCTTCTTTTACATGTATTTTTTTAAAACCCTGTACAATATTAAGCAGCAGAATAATACCTGTCTGCGTAGAGAGGTGGCATCCACAACAGCCATGTCGTCTGTTCCTCCCTCCAGAGTCGAGTCCAGTGTGGCCAGGGCATGCCTGTCAAAAACATTATTTCATTTCATAAGATACTGAGATACTGAGATACTGAGAGGACAGAGAGAAAAACAAATCGAGAGGAAAAAAACAGATGAGAGGGAAGAGATGAGAGGAAGTTACCTGTTGTCATGCTGGGGGTTAGAGAGGGTTGAACCCCCTCTAAGAGTTTGTAAAAGTTGACATAATATTGTACTAATTTGTATAGTAAACTTATGGAAAAATAAATGATTACACCCAAAGCTCAAAAGACAGGTGAAGTAATATATACATCTTGTTCATGCTTGACTTACGCAAAAAAAACAGAAACAAAAAAAAGTAAGTAAAAATGTACAAAACCAAGAAAAAGAACAATTGCACAGTTGTACAAAAAAAAAAAAAAAAAAGTATAAATACATATTTATAATAATAAAATGAAACCAGACAGACAAACCCAAAGAACAACACAAAAGCCATCTCTGACTTTACCGCTCTTACTGTGAAGAAAATAAAACATTTTAGCCATTAAAAAAATACGGCTAAAGTTTGACACATAGAACAGAGGGGCGGAGTTTTGATTTTGCCCCTCCCACATTGCTGAGTCCATGTAGCTTCAGCGACGGAACCAAACCCAGCTGTTGATAAGCCAGAAAGCTACAGTGATGGAATACATGATCATTTCTCGCTTGACTCTCTCTTTGTTCTCCTCCTCCAAGAGCTGCAAACGCCGGTTCAGCTTGACAATCTGTAATGACAAGAAATCAAAGAAATGAATAAACCCCTCCATCTTTCAGGTCAAGTAATGCGCAATTACACAGACTACTGTTGAAAAATTTGGGGTCAGTAAGATTTTACTGAAAGAAATTAATACTTTTATTCAGCAAGGATGCATTAAATTGATATTTGATAAATGTATAAATCATTTTTTTGTATTGTTTTGTATTGTTGATCAAATAAATGCAGCCTTAGTAAGCCTAAGAGACTTCTTTAAAAACATTTGAATGGTAGTGTTCATAAAATTGTTTTTATTCTTCTTTTACATGTATTTTTTTAAAACCCTGTACAATATTAAGCAGCAGAATAATACCTGTCTGCGTAGAGAGGTGGCATCCACAACAGCCATGTCGTCTGTTCCTCCCTCCAGAGTCGAGTCCAGTGTGGCCAGGGCATGCCTGTCAAAAACATTATTTCATTTCATAAGATACTGAGATTGTATTGAGAGGACAGAGAGAAAAACAAATCGAGAGGAAAAAAACAGATGAGAGGGAAGAGATGAGAGGAAGTTACCTGTTGTCATGCTGGGGGTTAGAGAGGGTTGAACCCCCTCTAAGAGATGGCTTGCTGAGAAGCGGATATGGAGAAAGTGAGAGAGGGAAAGGACAAAAGAAGACATAGACAGACAGACAACTTTAATAACATGCACTTCAACTGGTATATAATATGTATATAGCTACTGCAGGTGGTCTTTGTCTCACAAACCATGTCAACATTTTATAATCAAATAAACCTCGCAAAAGAAATTATGATTTTATGGTAAACCAGCCAACTGCACAGATGTAAACACAAAAAATGTAGTCTCATTTTCAGACAGTGGTTTTACACAAACCTACAGTTTAGTGTAGTGCCTGTCATTGGAACTGAAGTTAATGCCATTCTGAAAGCTACTAATGAGAAGGCAAGCAGGTCACAGGGCAGTAAGGCACAGGAAATTAGCTCATGAATACCAACTGTGCAGGTATTCACAGAAACCAAATTTAAATGAACGTTCTATATTTCAATTCACAGCATTTGTGGCATAATATCGTTTACCAAAGGGGAAAAAAATGTTTTAAACAATGATAATAAGAAATATTAAAATTATATCTGAAGGATCACATGGCACTGAAGACTGGAGTAATGGCTGCAAGAAATTCAGCTTAAAGGACATTTGCAAAATTAATTACATCACAGCAATAAATTACATTTTAAAATGTTACAACAATAGTATTAACAGTACAATTTTACTGTTTACTGTATTTTTGATCAAATAAAGGTGTCTGTGTATATTTTAAGGAATAATACAGTAGTAAAATATAATAAAAAAAATAAGTTCTTGTGTAACCAAAAATACAGCTGTGATTTTTTTCTTAATTTAAAATAAAATTATAAAAAAATATATTTTTTTAGTGGCAATCATGCCACAAATGCTGTCAATATACAGGTGCATCTCAATAATCTCACTAAAAATGTTTTTTTTATTGGTCTTATGAAGTATTCTAATTTGTTGAGATAGTGAATTGGTGGGTTTTTGTTAAATGTGAGCCAAAATCATCACAATTAAAAGAACCAAAGACTTAAACTACTTCAGTCTGCGTGCATTGAATTTATTTAATACACGAGTTTCACAACTTGAGTTGAATTACTGAAATAAATGAACTTTTCCACGACATTCTAATTTATTGAGATGCACCTGTAGATTAAACTTGTAAAGAACACAAACATTTCTTTATAAACTATACAGCAATGCCACAAACTGCTTGTGAATAAATTTAACTGAAATCTAAAAGCTCAGGGGAAAAAGAAAGGATTCCAACAAAAGAGAAAGAAATAAAATCTTGTGCGCATTTCTACTCATGCTAAACATAAAACCCCAAACCAAGAGGCTGAGAAAGAAATGGAGTTTAAGAAAGCAGCGTGTCCACATCCAACAGCAAACAACACAGGGATAAAGCTGTCATCTAACAAACTACCTCCTAAAATTTTTATATGTAGGGTTTTGTGCTTTGCAGTTGAAAGGAGAATTGTTTGTCTGTCAGTGCATTTTCTCTCCAAATCAGTTTGTTATCAGAATGACACGTGAACGTCTATCAGTCGTAGAGGACTTTGTTCCTGGATTAATCTGATTAGGTAATCGATGAAGCAACAGCTAATTTAGCCAAAAGTCAGTCTCTCAGGGCAGATTCAGGGGTCTGATGTCAAAGGTCACCTGCGCTGGTTCTCGTCCAGGACCTCCAGGACCTGCTGGTAGGCCCGACGTGTGCTTGACTGGATGAAGGAAAGGACGCCGTGGGCGCTGAAGAGGTTATACCCATCCTCGGCACCACCGAGAGGAGCCATAGTGCGCAATGCAGCAGAGGGGGAGGGAGTCATACTGACCGAACCACAGAGAGAGAGAGAGAGAGAGAGAGAGAGAGAGAGAGAGAGAGAGAGAGAGAGGGAGGAGGGTAACGAAAGAACAAGAGAGGAAAAGTCGGAGATACAAGTGAGAGAGAAAGTCAAACAAATTTTAGGTTTCAGAAAGAAGGAAATAAAAGGAGAAAGAATGAAATAGAAGTCGGAGGAAGAAAATAAAGACTGCAACAGATGGGCAACAGCCTCACCATATATACAAAAGGTTCACAAGCCTTCAACAAGCCCAAACAAGCAAAATCTCATCGTTTTAACAACACAAACACACAAAGTCATCTCGGAGTATCACAACCTCAAAAGCAGATTTGAAACGGCTGATCTCACATCAGACTAACGATGAGGCTGTTTACTGAACCATAGAATCCATCTACACTAATCCAAACAGACACAACTTCACCTCTGAGATCCATAAGGTGGTCTGCTTTAAAAATAGTGCACATCAAAAACAGCTCAGGTATTTGTTAGGTGAATCTCATGTCCAGGTCACATTTCACCAGCCTCATAATATTGAGGGATCTTTTATTATTAAGCACATTTGTTCATACATCATGCTTCCAGTTTTTGTTATTTTATAATCTGTATAGAATAAGGGTTATATATAATAATACATATAGTTTTATTTAAAAATACTTTATCATATATACATTTTGTTATTGTATAGTACAATAATATTTTTATATTATATCCTTTGAATTGTTAAAAAAATCGTTTAATCGTTTATCTTTAAGCAAATATTAATTAGTTCTTTCTTTTAATTTTTGAGGTAAAATAAGACTTGGACATGTTCTTGACAGGTTTTGTGTAATTACTGATGTAACGGTGAACAAGTGTATTGACGATTTTGTGTATTGAGTTAATTTTGTTTATTGCTATTGTATTAGTTAATATTGTTAAATAATTAAATACACTACAATTCAAAAGTTCAGGGTCGGTAGGATTTTTATATTTGAGTCTCTTATGCTCACCAAGGAGTATTTGCATGCATTTATTTGATTAAAATACAGTTATATTACATACAGTTATAGTATGTTATATGTTATACAGTACATAGTTATATTATATACAGAGACATTTTCTATTTTAAAATGTAATTTATTCCTGTGATGCAAAGCTGATTTTCCAGCAGCCATCACTCCAATGCTCAGTGTCACATGATCCTCCAGAAATAATTCTAATATGCTGATTATAATTAATGCTGTAAATAGCTGTGCTGTCTAATTTTTTTCATAGAAACTGTGATACTTTTGTTTGAGGATTCTTTGATAAATAGAACATAATTTTTTTCGAAATAGAAATCTTTTGTATCACCATAAATATTTTTACACTCACTTTTGATCAATTTAATGCATCCTTTCTAAATAAAATTATTAATCTCTTATGTACTGACCCTAAACTTTTGAACCGGTAGTGTGCATATGATATATTATATTATGTCTTATTAGTACATTATGATTCTGTTAAAATGTTGTTTTTTACTAAAACTAAATTAAGAGTAAAATTTGACAAAACACAGTTTGGCTAATGGACGTGACGCATTTAGATTAGTAGCAGAAGCTGTACTAGTCTTATTGGGGTCTAGAAAAAGAAAAAGAGATGCTGGTCAATGGTGGGTTTACATTCTTTTACTGACAGACCAGCCAATCAGAAAACTCCATGTCAAAACAAGAAAACAACTGGTTGAAGGAGAATGACTGATCTGTTTTTTTAAGTACAAACTCTCTGTGTGAACAGCTTCTCAATGCCAGGAGTGGCCATTCATTAGAATAGAATAGAGAACAATAGAGTAGAATAAAGCTGTCAAGCAGTCACAGCATGAGAAAAATTGACTGACAAAGCAACTCTAACTACACTGACCAATATCACAAGTTGTTTTATATTGTGATAAAATTGGTCTCGACCATGACTGACAAGTGTGATCGTGCCACTCCTGTACATGCAACAACATGCACTGAAGTTAAAAAAGCACAAAAGCCAAACTGAAAGGTCTTGAAACTAAACAATACACATGCATGGTTCTAACTC